TCAGTCCAACATTCCTTGCTACCTTCTCAAGAATGAATAAATAAGCCTTTGGATTTTTTATAATCTCACGTAAACTTAAATTCTGTGGGCCAGTATTGCTAATCAAGAGTTACCGATTGTGTCTTCTCCAACCTCCTTCTTTTCCAATACATTTCTCAAACTTCTAGTCACTTAGCTGCTGAGGAGTTCGAAAGATTTAATGTGTCATTTCAGAGGGATGGGCCTGCGAGTATCTAACGAGGCAACGGTTGTCAAAAATATCCATTGCTTGTGAGGCCCACCTTAAATGGAGTCTTGTGGAGAGTTGGCATCAGCGTATGGTATATTCATCCATGGTGGTGTGAATTTCTGTTTTTGGTACGGAAAACAATGGAAATAGATTTTAACTTAAGCCGATATCGACTGGGAACGACTAATGATTTGCTAATCATATCATCAAAATTGTTTAACTGATAGCAGATGGATCGCAAAATTCCACCAAAGCATTCCATCGGTCTGGTTAGAGGTACGTCAACCAATAAGAACTGACTTAGTGTTGATTACCTTGTCACGCCAGTCACATTTTCGGCTGAACACCAGGGCCGAATCACGATTGATGAAGCAATTACTTGGTGGCATTTTATTCAGTAATCCATGATTTGTCGATAACCTGATTACTGCCTAACAATGAAAGTGCAGTTAGCCATCAGGAATGAGTGATACTTTATTCAGTATGATTTCTTTGGGACAAACTTTGGCGGTTCACCTTTTTCGGTGGTTTTGATTGCTAATTCTCAGTAGCAAACTTACTCCGAAATCAAAGAGATCACAAGAAGAGAAATGTGCGGTATAGCTGTCACTATTAGTCGTAAGCATGCTTTATCCACTGTCAGTTTATATTTGAATTCTGAGTATCATCTTTCAAAAATATCTGCGTGGAAAGCTCTGTTTTTACCCTAGGGGGAACCACAGTCAGAGAATGAAAACACAGAAAAAACGAACAAATATTGACGCCTTGGTCTGTTGCTGTTGATGCTTTCGGAACAGTCCAAAGAAACTGCGCATAAAGTAATGTTGACTGGGACTCAGCTTCTGTGTCCTGGATGAGCTTCCTTGTTCAAAGTGATCTCGACAGTAGCATGACCAAGAAAACAGATATAGGACTACCTGAAACGGGCAGTGACGCTAGTAACTACGGTTGCATATGGGACTTAGGTGTGGTCATAGAAGTGGGGTAGTTATTACGCCTTTCGTAGACACTGTTCACATCTATATTGAGTCTTCCAGATGTTTTAGCTAAAGCCGACTTTTACACTATCTGAAATAGTGGGTAAATACGGAAGGCAGCCAAGTGAAAACAATACTTTCGGCAGAGGTTTGTGTTTGCTGATTCCAAAATTTAAACTAAGATGTTCAATACCTTGTGATCCCTGAGCTTAGCGTTTAGTTGGCCAACTTTTCATCATCATTCGAGGTGACATCGTCAGTGTGCAGATGGGGATCCTCAAATTCTCTCCTATATATAGGGATACTGCTTCTAAATTTGACCTTGACCAAAAGAGGTTACTATTTATGTCAACTTGACATCTATACCTTTCCCTGTATACTTCTCATTTGGACACCTTGACCTTTAGCTTTTTGCACAACCTCCCAAATTCAGAAACTCAACTGTCGCAGCTATGGTTTTCCCAGAATACTGAACCACTGAATCTTCGGAGAACACGCGTGACTGATGTTTTCGAAAGAAAAAATAGGGTTGCATGGCTATGGGTTGGTAGAATTAGGATCCGTTTGATTTGCTTTCCATTAGGTAAATTAGTTAAATTTCTGGTGCACCAGGCTATTGTGAAATTGAATCAATTCAGTGCGTTCATTGGTTGAATTTTTCGAAGGGTACCAAGCCTCCAAGAACTCCCATGAGTATATCATGAGTGGCTGTTCAAGCATGTGAACTTCGTCCCTATTGGATGTGTCCTTCTTGGTCCTAGTTGCTAGATATTGGTGAAAGTCGATCGTGTTTCCTTGTAGCTACTTTGTTTTCGTTCATCCGCGTGGGGACCTTTCTCCCAGTTTGACCGACGTAGCATTGATCGCAGTACTTGACTTTTACCTCGTATGAACATTTTCTTCAATTGTTCGTGTTTACTTTGCTCTCTTGGTCTTGATACTGTTCTTCCCAGGGTTTTGGCTGGTCTGTGAGCAAATACGAGGCCTTTTGAATGGAGCAGCCTTGCCACTGTTTTGGAAATCTTTTTTTATGCCAGGCAGTGGCACGCTCCGGTTGTTTCTTATTATCTGACTTGTTTCTGTGATGATTCCGTGTGGGGTTTTTCTGATAACATGTCTTGGATATCTATTCTGCTCACATATCTTGTGAAGGTAGTTCACTTGTTTTCCGAGCCGCATTGTGCTGGGATTTTGGCCCTGCAGAATCGAGATTGAATAGTTGTTTTGATAATTGCTGGTAAAACTCAGTATTTGATCCGTGTAAATTAGCTTCTGACATACCGAGTTTTCTAAAGTCCTTCTGTCGTTCCCTCTCACCAATAAGTCCCATACCACGATGGGTTCTTTATGTGAGAACCGTGCTTGGCATCTTCCCACAAGACAGAACGGATTGTTTCTTGGGAAAATTAACCAGAGCCTGTGACTCAAACATGTGGCCAACAAGGGCTGGGACAGAACCCAAATCACCGGCAACCGGATTACCTGTGGTGGCACTTCTTTCTTCGTGTCACAAGAGACCTTAATTTCTGCTAACCCTCTGTTCGCCGTTTCTCTTATATCGATCCCTTTTTGGACTCAATCCTTAGCCTTATGCGCCCAACGAAACAAGCGAAACATAGACAAGGAAGCTGCATCTGAACTGAGAGCTTTTATTCTCTGGCGGGCGATGGGTCTCTTATGAGGTTCAATGATTTTTCGCATCAGCAAAATAAATTATGGATACTCTAACCTTCCTTCCACCTGCTACTCTTTGTGCATATTCTCAAAGGATTGTCGTCTCCAGATGTACAGTAGCTGAAAACCAGTTGGTGCCCAATAACTGGCCCAGTGGGATTCACTTTGGTATAACATCTACCTATTGACCTGCTCGGCACAATTGTAACTTTTGCTTGAGAAAACTAACGTGCGTAACCCACCACTTCAAGGAAGCGCTCAAGCCCTCACACCACACCAAGGTTAGTTTGTTGGACTAAAATGGTAGGCGCAACTGTTTTCACCCTTTGACTGGAAACTAGACAACCACCAGTCTAGTCTTCATAACTAGTTCAATTGGCTAGTTGAATAAAAAATCAACCGAACTGCACAATGATAGATATTCGGGCCAAAGATTCTGCGAATCTTAATAGCACATTCTTAATTTTGCCTCGCTCTACAACAGCGATCACACTCAACGCTCCAGTGCTTTCACACACCGGCAAACCTACTTCCGAGTTTAGTAAACCTCCAGAGAAATCAAAGCCACTTAGTGCTTACTATTTGCTTTACCTCGCATTTTGGTTTGTACTGAAATGGTATTCTCAGCAGTGATCTACTTGCTTGAAAATAAAGTCGTTTACAATGATGCTCCCGGGATCGGGTATGCTCCGACTTCTCTTTGAAAATCAGCGTAAATTAAAGGCGACGCACTTCGCCCGGTAAATAGCGATCCAGCATGGCTCTGAGTGACCGTGATTATGTTATGTGGTCCATGTCCAAGAAGAATATTCTTCGCAGCCGTTGACGAAGTGACGAACTGTTAAAATGATATTCAGTGTGTTGACAAAACTGGGCTGATTGAGGCTCTTGGAAGTGAACTTCAAAAGTAAAGGCTCGTGTATTTTCTGGTGGATTACAACCCAGACAGCGGTGGTAGACGAATCCTTTGTGTGAATCGATTTATCTTCCGGTTCCAAACTGCGATGATGAAGCAAAAGCTGCACCGGAATTGCTAGCTTTGTCTCTGTCGAGTGCTTTTTCACTTTTGCTGATTAATTCAACGATCACGGAAATTGATTTGGGATCGGCCAAGTTGGAGAGAAAAGGAGAGTTAAAGTGGCAATGGATCAACGGAGATGGTGTGAGATATTAATGGAAAAAACTCCGATTTCTGATGACTTCATAATGATGAAGTTTCCGCTATTTGTGGCGACCGAGAAAATAAGACCACCTCACCAAGCATTCTATTTTCATGATTCACTTGAATACCGTACTGCTGTAAACAGCTGTGGGATTGAAGAGCATTCTTAAAAAATGGTTTGGCAATAAACCTTCATATATTTGACCATAAACAAAATGGAAAACACGTAAAACATCGTCCATAAAAAGCTGAAAAGTTTGCCTGGTACGGGGTAAGCAGAAAGGCAGGAGAGGGGACTCAGAAATCCCAGAATATGATAATGCTGGATTCGGGAAGGCCCTCTTCAGTTATGAGAATCAGGAGATTTGTTTTAGCAAGTTCAGTTCTTGAGTATTTGGTTAGGCCAGAGAGATACTTCAAAACAATATATGATCTGATGACCCTTTTGAAAAATGTCTAGAAAGGTCATTGAGGCCTCGGAAAGTGAGATAAACACATATCAAAGCGCGGGCAGTGCACATGTGCTGTTACAAACCCAATCAGATGGACGAAAACCACAAAAATGATCGATCGAAAATATGAACGTATGGCAAAGACCGAGGTCTTCAACGCAATGCCATCAAGCCAGAATCATTGTGAATAGACAAACGCGAACACCCACACACAAGACGCATAGGGTCTAAAGGGGGTAACTATGAACATGTTTGTACCTGCGTGTTTGTGTGAAGGTATACACGCAACCGCACAGAACAGAACAGGGTACAACAGGTGGAGGTCATACTAATGACCAGACCAGATCAGATCAACTTTCTGTCTGGCTAACCGCGGCCTCGAAAAATTTCACCGTAATCACCATTCAAATCGACCATAAATAAGAAAGAACCTAAAAGGAACTGGTACTTTTTTACTGAGCCCCACTAAGTCCGAGAAGAAAGGGGCCTCAAGGATGCTTTTTCTTATGGTGCTCACGTTTTCGTTGTCCGATGTTCGATGTATCACGGAATCTCAGGGTGAGTGTGGAATATTCTTGTGTACAACAAAACTCTAAATTATCCGTATACTACACGTAAATCAGTAGAATTTTACCTTCGTAAGAGAAGCAGAACAAATCAACAGCTGGTAAAATGACAACTGATTCTGTAGGTTCAGTCTCTAGGAAAAGAATGAAATAAGATTTAGACAATACGGGTTATAACGTTCGGTTCGGAGTAAATGGACATCAATGAATGGCAATTCTCAAAAGAAACTGATCGGCTTTCATATAAAGTAGTGATACTTTAGCTTGCTACTATCGGGCTTGATCTGGGGGTACTATGCCTGAAACAGCTGCAGATTTCTCAGTTTCTCTGAAACCAGTTGGCGTTAGCATTTATTTGATTCCCTGTTTAGGATCGGGATGTACACATAAATACAGCAGGATCGGCAGTCCCAAACTTGGAGCTTGGACAGGCAAGTTTTTTATATGACATCCAGGTCCAAGCCCCTGAGTTTCTGGGCATCCGGTGAGTGATGCTTTTTGTGACTATGGAAACTTCCTCTATCAGCTTCTGCCTGTGAGCCTTGAAAAAAGTGAAGTGAATACGCAATAACAGACACTGTATATAAAACTATGTATTGCCTGGGATCGGGCTTTAACTTTTGACAATGATTAGCCCGGAATAAGCTGCAATTTAAGTTTGGTTTGCTGTCAGAACTAACAGAATTATTCAACGGACTCATATTTTTAACAGTTTCATTGAGTACCAAGATGCACCACAGTAAGAAAACTGATATATGCATTGAGCCTTATAAAACGTATTGGTCTAAACACCTGAATTTAAATTCAGCACTTCAATTGTACCATTTATGTATTCGTATGAAAACGATGCATGTTTCCGGTCGAATCGCTCTGAAATACAAAAAATTCAAATCATGCTCTTGTCTTGAATAACATCCAAATGTGAAGGAACCCTCCTGCAGAATGTTTTCAATAATATTATAGCTGCACAGCAACCGTTGTCAAGCATGACTACCAAGTGTTATTGGATATTCTATCTAGATGTCGTAGAAAAACTAAGTTATGATGGATGTTAGTGAGTTTTTCCTGAATGACGCGACGTTTTAGCTTTCACTCGACTTTTTTCATGATGGAATCAGTGATCTTTCCAAAAAGTGAAAGGTAAACCACAAATATGCGCATTACCCTCAGTAACCCATCACTTCCCAAAAAATTACTTTGGTTTGAAACCTAGCGCAAATTGTTGACGATTTTTTGAACAAGAACAGCAATTCAGATCGTTTGTTCGAGTATTTTATCAGTGCTAATTCGCTTGAGTACGGCTAGCAAAGACAACCACTGTGACTCAGCCAACTGCCCTTGAAAGCACTGGGTTGAGCTACCAAAATTACAAATGAAGCAGGCTGAAGTTTGGTGAAATATTAGTGATTAATTCGGTCAGATACTCGGCTCAGAAAATCGTTTGGTCATTAGTAACTCTGTTTACTTGATTTTTGTTGCTACAAGGGAAAATGAGTCTTACCTTAGAGCCAGAGGGTTCTTTTTCGATGAGATACGAAGCTAGCAGAACAATGTTTACCCTGTCAAAATGCCCATCTTTTGAGAGGTAGAAGAGGACCACTGACTACATGCTTTTGCATGGTCAATCCGGAAAATGCAAAAATCCATCTTATCTGGAAAGAGATTTGTTGCTAATACGTCTACCTTGCAAACTGTTTGATTAAATTATGAACTGGTAGAAAGGATTAATATGCATACTACGATAATTTCCAAGATGTGACTGTCCATTGAACATTATCGCAGATCTCTGTCAGTTATATGGGGAAAGTGAGTTTGTATCGTATAAAACCAGGTCACTTTATCTTCATTACTCTGTCACCTTCTTTGTTAATTGCACATGGTTTTTAGACCGTGGCTTGTGCTCACATTTTCCGAATGGTCACTGTCTTTGAAGGTCTCACTTTTGAATGACGGAAGCGAAGTGACCGAACCTCATTTAATTTTGTTCACTCTGTTGTGTCAAATGAGACGGGTGTTGCTGGAAATGGTTTGAAACAAACACGAAATTTATTAACTCATATATACTTTGTCAATTGTAAAATGTTGACTCATTAGGTGGGCATGAAAAGCTGTAAGGTTCTTCAATTATTATTATTACTGAAATGTAGGAAGTAGGCTATTGGCTCAAGTTTCCCCACTGTCTCCTAAAAGTTCTATCAACTTGCACAACGTTTGGAAGACTTTTTAAGGCCTAAGTATCCTTCAAGAACAAACCGATTCATATGTATTTTCGGTAACTCCATTGTGTTCTGAAGGGGCAACTCAACGAACTGCACGCGATCGAGGATTGTTATGCATGAAAAATCTGTTATGTAGCTCTCATGATTTTGTGTGTTCGTGAAATAGTACCAGCATATTGTTTCCGATTATAACCTTTTATTTTGTTCTTTAAATCCTTTTATAAAGTAAAGATGACACACTTTCATAAATATATCCACAGCCAACCTGAGACTGCCAACTGACGGAAATTGACCGGAGGTAGAAGCCGGATTCGAACTAGGGACATCTGGGTTGAGAGCTCTCACCCCGATGATCGTTTGATCACCGTCGGTCATTGTCTTCAGCTGATAGATAAGCCGATTATAATTGCGTCAAAACCATGTAAAAATAAATATTGGAATTTGACCTGCGAAACCCTTGGAAATGTGACTGTGATAGAAGCACGTAACTAATTACTTGGCTTATAATTCGATTAGTGAATCTAACGCCATAACATGATGTTCATCGTCATTCATTGCGTTTGTAAAAAGTCCATTAGGGAAAAGAACTAACCACATGGTATGCGTCAATCACAAAAAGGCTCATTGATATTGTCACACGAAATATGGCAATAGACAGTCAAACCCTCATTGGCCGTCGAATGCAAATCACTCATCATGAGTGGTCCAGGAAGCACTTTACGGCTTCATCTGGTCTGTTATAAATCATACCCAATGGGTATCGACCGGGTCCAAAAAAGAACTGAAACTCTGTGTACACATATTTGAGTCGTTAACTGTAACCGTTAGGCTATTTTTGCCGGGACTCAGTGGATTGTTCAATGTGAACATGAGATCATAGCAGGCAAAACCAGTTCTTGACGAAGGCATTGATCAAACTATCTGGACAACAATATAAAAAGTGATGATTTTGCTACTTTACAATGGTACGGGCAATTCTGAGAGATGAAAGTTTCATCAGATGAGAATTGTTATACACAGCTAAATACCGATGCCACAAGCAGGAGTAATGGCGACAAAAGCTATAGTTATGATACACGTAGAAAGAAAAGTAAATCCAATCGAAAACGAAGAATAAATCCATGCTGACATGCAGTACAATTAAGATAAATAAAAGTGGTAATCTATGCAGTTGTTCTTCAAGAGGTTCAACAAATGGACCGAGTCAGTCATTAGACAACTAGTCGAGTCTCACATACTCGACATCGAAATAGAATTAAGTGAACCAAGAGAGTAAGATAGTTATGACGCAATGCAACAAGCAGTCGATGCTGCATATGCGATCGTAAATAGGATCAAGTAAGTCGAAATAAAAGATGATGGAAAGTTGGCAAAGTCAAGACCATAGAGAAAACCGTAACTATGAAGGATCAACTACGTACTTGCATGTCTGGTGGACGCGTCAGTCATAATCTTATCAGAAGATTGAGGACAATGACTGCTGGTAGTTCATTGTCAATCGCTCCTTGTGATTCCTGCTACGAGAGGAACTAGCTATACGACAGGTAGTGCAGTGACACGTTCTGGGCAACGTCTGATAAGATATACTGGATCAACTTTGTCCACTTCAACTAAACAAAGACATAACGCTTCCGGCTATTTATCTGATCACGTTGATCATTTCAGCAGTAAGTAGACTGTCTATGGTTTATTGAGGGTTCCGTATCCGAGCATGGATACCGAAGGATTCTACTGGTCACACTACGTAATTGAGCTTGCGTCACGATGCTCATCATTACTCTTTAAAAGGAAATCCGGGATGATGTTACTACCAATTTCTGAACTGATCGTATTTGCCATTAAAACATATGCATGTTTACCCGTAGAAGATCGAAAATGGTAAAGGTACTTGAGAATGAAAGGGACGAGAAAATAACCCATCAAAATCATCTAAAAAATTAGTACTCCACGGATCATTTATGTCTTCCAAATTATTATCGTGACAAGCAGAGAAGTAATGTAGGTATATTTCCAATATTTGTTCCAAACATCGTGACATGATTACAGCGGGATTATCCATCAACTGAGGGATATAGATATACTGTAACTCTTTTCCACAAACAGGCAGTCAGAAGTACAAGGAATGTTTAGGCACAAAGAGTAATCACCTCTATCATTTCGGAGAATCCGAACAGCGGTCCAAAGGGGCATCATATGCCTGAGAGTTCTGTAACTCAGACAGCTAAGTAGTAGTCTGACCGTGTTTACCGTGGCTTTTACTGCCATCGTTTATTGCATTTATTTTTTTTTTGTTCGGATGCATGCATCCAAAAATCAAAAACCTCTAAGTAGATGAATAAGAGGAAGACGAAAAATAAGCACGAGTTGACTTTAGACGTCAAGCGTCACCTTAATTTGCCAAAAATACATCAACTGTATTTTATTTTGTAGACATTTCTGAACTATTCAACTTTAAATTACAGCCATGCAGTATTTATTCCATAGTAAGTTTATTATACGTATTTCAAATCAATAACCCAATTGTTCAGATTCTACTGAATGGACAAAAGAGTCCGTGCTATAGCTGCCATGAAACGATCACGCTAAATGTCATTTGCTTTTTCACTTTTTGTTTGCTGGAATTGAATAGCGTAGTCAGCCGGTTGACAAGCGAACGCAACTGCAAATCGGTATTCTGAATTTTTACTGCATGCAAGTTGTGTAAATCATGCAACTGTTCATGTTGAAGTCAGTCAAAACAAAAACCAATCTTTGTCTTCGAAAATGCATCCAT